CTCCCGCACTGGGCTCAATCTCCCCTGCACTGGGCTCAATCATCTCCTGCACTGGGCTCAATCATCTCCCGCACTGGGCTCAATCTCCCCTGCACTGGGCTCAATCATCTCCCGCACTGGGCTCAATCTCCCCTGCACTGGGCTCAATCATCTCCCGCACTGGGCTCAATCTCCCCTGCACTGGGCTCAATCATCTCCCGCACTGGGCTCAATCTCCCCTGCACTGGGCTCGATCACCCTGGGCTCGAATTCTCCTGCGCTGAACTCGATCTCCCCTGGGCTGGACTTGATCTCCCTGGGCTCAATCTCCCCTACACTGGACTCGATCTCCCTGGGCTCGATCTCCCCTGCACTGGGCTCAATCTCCCCTGCGCTGTTCTCCATCTCCCCTGCGCTGGACTCGATCTTCCTGGGTTCGATTTCCCTGGGCTCGATCTCTCCTGCGCTGGGCTCGATCTCCCTGGGCTCGATCTCCCCCGCGCTGGGCTTGATCTCTCTGGGCTCGATCTCCCCCGCGCTGGACTCGATCTCCCTGGGCTCGATCTGCCCTGCGCTGTGCTCGATCTCCCTGGGCTCGATCTCCCCCCGCGCTGGCTTCCATCTCCACCCGCGCTGGGCTCGATCTCCCCCCGCGCTGGGCTCCATCTCCTCTGCGCTGGGCTCAATCTCCCCCGCACTAGGCTCGATCTCCCCTGCACTAGGTTCGATCACCCCTGCACTAGGTTCGATCTCCCCCCGCGCTGGGCTCCATCTCCTCTGCACTGGGCTCAATCTCCCCCGCACTAGGCTCGATCTCCCCTGCACTAGGCTCGATCTCCCCTGCACCGGGCTCCATCTCCCCTGCGTTGCACCAAAGTGGACTCCGTCCACAGCTGTCGGTGGAAAGAAACTTTGCTTCAGACCCACTGGAAGATGCTGATCTCTCCAAAGAAGGTAAGTACATTAAAGTAGGAAAAGAAAATCTGTGAAAGGAAAAAAAGTAAAAGCAGACAGAGCGGATGAGCTCCGGGTGGGAGCCCACACGCTACACTGATACTCCACACGTAATAATACATTTGAGTAGATGTATTCTTCCTGAAGGTTCTTATTAATAGTCCAATTTTTACATGCTCTTGGTTATTGTTAAAACAATGATAAAATTTCACTTCTGTTTTGATCTAGAACTACTCGCAAGTGCAGCACAAAAACAGGCTATTTAGGAAAAAGCAGACCACGAAACATTTAATGTCTTTAACCTCCTGTTACCTTTCCTCATCCAGCTCTATCACCAGAATCCTCCCTTTCTCCCCTGATGAGATTAGCTAACCTCTTCTTAAAAGCATCTCTACTTCAGGTACGCTTTAGTTTCTAGAAGTGTATTACAAATTTGCCATTTGATTTTGTGGTGATTATCATGTTGTCAGCCTCTGGTTTTGATTTACCACTTAGTAGAAAGATTCATTCTCCACTCTATCAAAACATTAAACGATTTTAAAGACCTCTATTAAGTCAGCTCACAGCATTCTCTTTATAAAAACCTGTTCATTATCTCTAGATACGCATTGTTTTCCTGTTATCATCCTTGCAAAATGCATCTTTTTAAATAGTGTGGCAGTCAGAATTGTATGCAATATGCCAGCTACAGCAGAGTTTAAGATTCTATTATAGGTTTAGCTCAATCTATCTTTGTTTCAATTTTATTCTTCTGGAAATGAATCTGAGTGCTTAGTTCGCTTTTCTCCAGCCCCTGTTAATCTGCGGTACTGCTTTTAGTAATTTGTGAATTTGCACTTAAGGCTCCCAAAGCTCCTTCACTGCATTCATGTTGAGCAATTTTTTTTTAGTAACTTGTAAAACTGGCCTCCAGAATTGCTTCATGTTGGAATAAATTTGGGAATAGCCCCTGCTCTCTGCCACTGAGGACTGTAATGAACTGATTTCCTTACCTTTCTTCTCCTGGTTTTCAACTTCTCGAGAGGCAAGCAATTCAGCACTCAATGTCAGTGCGTAAAGTGCATATAATTTGATAAAATCATTTACAGACAGTTTAGGCAAAATTTTAATCAATTAATTTTCAATGTAGCCCTAATTTATTTTAATCCTGCCTATATGATATCCAACATTGCATATATGATATCCATCCTATATGATAACATATAGAGAAACCAGAATATGGCAGCACATCATTTGGTCAAATCATTTAATCATGGTATTTATTCTCCACCAGAGTATTTCAACAAATAGGGTTTAAGGATCAAATCGTCCTTCATAATGTGAAAATAGACTTAACTCATGAGCTGTGTATCATGTAAGACATGACTCTGTCCCTTTTTCTAGATTATAAATTGTGCCAGTTTAGAAATTCAATGTCTCTTAATGAGAGTAGTGGTTCACCATTTTATTATTTGTTCAAGCTTATGAATTCATTGTAAAACATATTATCCCTTTGCACTATTTATAATAAATCCATTAATGACAATTTGGAAAGCATTATCTTGAAGAGTATTGGTTTCTGTGGTACAGACGAAAATAATTCATAGCCTCAAGCATAAATTATGTGAATGTTCCCTTCATTATCTGCAACCATGTTTTAACACCACTATATCTTGTATGGCAGTGGAATATATTACAATGCTGTCAACTACAAAAGGAATTCAAAGGTCTTCTAAATGTGGTTTATTGATGGGAATAGGCAGTTAAATACATAAATCAAATGAGGAGTAAAAAAATTGGTCAGGTGTTTGAAACAATTTTTACTTTAAATCATAAGAATGCTGACAGAATGGTTTCATAAAACTTGATGCTATTTTATATTGTTGCTTATGTAAGCAGTATATCCTGGCAAATTAAGTCAGGTTCAAAGAGAACATGCAATATCTGAATTGTAACCCTGCATTGTCCCAGTTCAGACTTTCTACAGATGTAGATGGATCGTGAACAGTTGCCATAATGAACAGCACCAAAAGATCTAAGCTAACTAGCCACTGCTAGTTCATAAAAGAGTTAGCAAATTAAGATGTTTTCACCCAAAACATGAACTGCTATGGAAACCAGCCATTGTCACATTTGTAATTTGTAATGAAACAAAGCAAATAAACTCAGCGCAGAATGATTCAAAAGATGCAATGATGGGACAAACTGAAATGACTCAACATGGAAGGCTTGAGTTATAAAGAAAGGCTTGGATAAGTTACGACTTTTTTCACTGGAGTGTAGGAGGGTGAGAGTTGACCTTATAGAAGTTTATAAAATAATGAAGGGTATAGATAGAGTGAATGGTAGTTGTCTTTTCCCTAGGATGGAGGACTTCAAGACTAGGGAGCACATTTTTAAGGTGAGAGGAGAGAGGTTTAAAAAAGACATGTGGGGCAATTTTTTTTACGCAGAGGGTGGTTCGTGTGTGGAATGAACTTCCTGAGGAAGTGGTGGATGTGGGTATGGTTACAATGTTCAAAAGACATTTGGATAAGTATATGAATAGGAAAGGTTTGGAGGGATATGGTTCAGGAGGAGACAAATGGGTCTAGTTTAGTTTGGGATTATGTTCAGCAGGGACTGGTTGGACCAAAGGAACTGTTTCCATGCTGTATGACACTATGACTCTATGAACTGAGGGATGATGTGGTAAAAGGGTTTGATTTCTTTAAACTGGGAGATGAGTATAGATCAAGCCTAGCAGGACTCTCTCTTCAATGAACATTGTGGTTTTGTTTTCACGTAGATGGGGTTTATCGATAGCTTTTGTTTGTTCCTGGTAAATCGCTCAAGCAACACACAATCTGGGGGTTGCATTTGTAAGTTTCTCAAGCTGAGAAATCTTAGATGTCTTACAAAAAATTGAACTGTCATGCAATATCCTCAAGGGGGTTCTGTTATGAAGCTGCAGTTGAGGGGCATTGTTTGGGCAATGATGAAGTAATATTACACTCATCTGATGAATACTATTCATCACAAATAAATAGTTTGTCGACAGTTGATTTACAAAATGTTAATAGTCCCATTAAGTTCAAAGTGTCCTCCCGAATGGCAAATGGCTTCTGTGATACCAACAGTAAAATGTTTCCTGCACTTCAGTCATATTTCATTGAATGCAAAAAACTTTGAAACATTGCAAGGGTGTGAAAGGCGTATTTCAAATGCGTTTGTTATTTTCCCATCAGCATTCTTGTGCATCAGGTGACTTCATGTCTTCTTCGCAGAGCAAGCAAAATGAGGATGCAGGATTACAAAGCAAGGCGTGCTGTGCAGCTGGATCACCTGATTCAAGGAAAATCTTGCCTGAGGCTGAACAATAAAGCACATGAGCTACATTTCTAACTCAGACTTGTTCCAGAGGTGGTGAGATGAGGACTTTGCTTTGACTTCAGGTAATTGCTTTTGGCTGTCATGATCGCAGAGTTCGAGCCCAGCACAGAGGAGAGATCGAGCCCAGTGTGGGAGAGAGATTGAGCCCTATGTTGTACAGAAAATGAGCCTAGTGCATTGGAGAGATCAAGCCGTGTGTGGGACAGAGATCAAGCCTAGTGGAGGAAAGATATTGAACCCTATGTGGGGGAGAGATTGAGCCCAGTGTAGGAGAGACATTGAGCCTAGTGCAGGGGAGAGATCGAGCCCAGTGTAGGGGAGAGATTTAGTCAGTGTGTGGGAGAGATCGAGCCTAGTGCAGGATAGAGATTGAGCCCTGTGTGGGAG